CAAAAATGGTCCCATTAGTCAGTAGTATAAAGTTGCTATAACATCACTTTTGAGAAATTTACCGCAATAATGCCGTAAGTTAATAATAGTAAAACACATTGTTAAGACATTTTTAGTAATATTTATCTTCCCATATTGCTTGCATTCAAAATTATTTAACTCAACGCCAACATCAAGGCCAGATTATATAAGAAATATGGAATTATTTGCCACCACCCTTAAAAGAAAATTTTAATATTACATTTGCAACATTTAAAAAAAAGGTTAAAAAGGAGTTATTACATAAACAGAAGTCTTTTTAGGCCGAATAACTGTATGTTTATTCTGTAATAAAGTTTTTTTTTTCATCTAACACATATTGACTGTAAAGAGGTTTACCAACAATACATAATTAAATAAGATGTGCGTGCGACCAAAATATACCCACAACAGCAGGGACTGGCTGAAAAACAGTGCTGAGCATAATGCCCAGCGAATACTGAGCCTGTGCCCGTTGCCTCACATTATAATCGTAAACTGAGTAATATTAGTTAATCTGTTAATTGTGAATGTTCATTTTTTTATAAAAATTTTAAGTCTAATCATTTTTATGTGTATACTTACTTTGTAAACTTTTCATTTGTAAACTTATTATTGTGTGGCAATAAATATTTATTATTATTATTATTATTAAGAAAATTAACTTTCATTTTGATATATCATCAATGACTTTAATATTCCAACGCGTTATATCACAAAATAGTAACTCATGTTCCCTTTAAAATTTAAGTTTTACGATTACCGAGTTATTGCCCTGAGGCGTCGATATGTAGAATAAAATGTAAACGAGTTTTTAAACTTGGTAACAATATTACAATAAATAAACGCTACAATTATCCTATTCCTGATAGTCTGAAGATTTCACTTCTACCACACATGTTTTTTAATTACTACTTTTGGTTCGATCTGCGCAGAATGAGCTTACTGTGTCTAGAGATTTTGCAGTGGTGTTCTTGGAGTTAGTTTTAATTTTATTAGCTACATAATCCCAAATAGGTGGAAGTACCCAGCCTCCTTCTCTATTATTGTAATCAGGGTTTTTTATTACAATAGCTTTACGTATCATCCTTGTTAGAAATCATGTTCATCCCGAGGATTTGTGGAAGTATAATTCCACCTCCAGATTACCTATAAGAGTACCTATTTTTGTCATATTTTGCAAAATTTCTCCAAAACGGCACAAGCTCTTTTAATAGGTTTTACACAAAAAAAAGATCTTAAAAATTTTAGAATTTTCAATGGAGAGTTTTATTTTTATTTACCATTTTACTCGAGAAAATATCATTTTCCCCCGAAATAAACGCGAGCGTGCATGGTCCGTCGTCCTCTAATCCCCCTTTTCGGCGAGGGTGTACCACGCATGGGTGTTGGAGTGACTCCGTTCAAATATATTTTTGTATTTTAAGAGTTTATACTCAATTATAAATATTTTTATGAATAGAAATACTTAATTTAGTTAATATCTGTACATTGGTAACTGTAAATATTGTTTTCTAAATAAAATTAATTTTCTCAAGTGCCCAAAGAAGAAAAAATTTTCGCAGCGACGTTGCAGTAAAAATGCATTTTTATATAATTTAGATGTGAAACGACCAACATGTTCTCGTTACTTAGATTTCGATAGTTTTTAATACCTATGTAATTTTATTGTAGTATACTTTTAATAATTAGGTTATAATGAATTTTATAATTATGTATTACAATAAAACGCTGTTTTTATGAATATGACTTTAATAGAACATTACTTGGGAGGGAAATCTAAATACACTATTATAATATAAAATTAAACAATTAAAATCAAAAATTATAATATAAAATCAAATAAAACTGGCGCTGCCCTAAGTGCCTAATAAAGATATTCTTGGATTTATCTTTTCTTTAAATATTAGACAAACCATCATCTGAAAAATATAAAAATTTTAAATTGGAGCGGGGTTTCTCTGCATGATAAAGTTATAAATGAGGATATCCGCAGCAGAACCAGACTAACTGACATAACCCAACGGATTACTAAAGTGAAATGGCAATGGGCTATAGATATAGATGGGAAAACCTATAAACAATAGGAAGAAAGGTTCTTTAGTGGCAATCTCGTACCGGTAAGCGTAGTACTGGGCAGCCTCCCACTATATGGAGGGACGACATGGAAGTCGATAGATGCGAGTGGCTTAGGACCATGCTTTATGGCATTCATTGGGAAGGCAAGGCACAAAGCCTATATATATAGATATAGATATAGTATATCTATCTATATATATAGGCTTTGTGAAGGGCTGTAATGATGATGATAATGAAGCTACTTATTATGAACACACACACACACACACACACGCGCGCGCTCTAACGCGCACACTCACACATATATACACACACACGCACGCACGTACGCACGCACGCGCATACGCACGCACGCACGCACGCATGCACACACTCACACACGCACGCACGATGCACGCTGGCCCGCACGCACGCACGCAAGCACTCACGCACGCACGCACGCACGCACGCACGCACTCACGCACACACACACTCACGCACACTCACGCGCACGCTCTAACACACGCACACGCACACGCACATGCACGCACGCATACACACGCACTCACTCACATATACACACACACACACTCACACACACATACACACACACACATACACACGTACGCGCACGCGCACACGCATGCACGCGTACACGCACGCACGCAAGCGCACACGCACGCACGCACGCATGGATGCACACACTCATGCATGCACACACTCACGCACGCACGCACGACGCACGCTGGTTCGCACGCACGCACGCATGCACGCACGCACGCACTCACGCACACACACTCACGCACACTCACGCGCATGCACTCACACACGCACATGCACACACACACACACACACACACGCACTCACACACACACACACACACACACACACACTCGCGCACACATGTAGGATGGAATTAAAGAGCTTCTTAAGGACTTCAAGTACCGCTGTAATTCCATCCTCACCCGGGTTATGTTCAGCAGTAGAATGTCGATGATGAATATGTAAGATAGAGTTATTTCCTAATAAAAACACGAAATTTGGATGATTATGTGTTAGGATGTTTGTTACTCAAGCACGTTATAGCTACTGAACATCTTGGATTAACAAAACTTCAAAACTTTTTATCCAGATTATCTCCAAAATCGGAATATATGTGTTTATAGGTAAAAACCACGGGGCGCTATTAGAATACATTAAGACTAAGTAGACGCTTAAACGCTAATTTAAAATCAAAAGTACTAAGTGATGGTCTCATTCAGATTTTTTCTGTATAATTTTATATATGGACTTATTTTTTTTTTTAAATTAAGTATTTAAAACTAACTGGCAGTGAAGATATATAAACAACAACAATTGACAAAGCTTCATAGCAAGTTATCAAACTTTAAACTGCTCTCCTGAAAAATGTCTAGACTCTAGACCATTGAAATGTGAAAAACGTATTAACTCGTTCTTACTCTTTTTTTCATCCCATCGGACTTTGAGAGATGGAATAGAGATTGCAACTGCGCTTGCGCATACACTCGGGAACTACCGTGTCCTGCCCAAGTGTCTTTTCTTCTCTCTTCTCGGCTGAAACTGGCTGCTGCGACCGAAATTCAGTTTGGAAGACATAATAAATCATTCATCAGCAGCCCATAAAAGACATAAGCTGGGCATGGGCCTCTGCCACTGTAGAAAGCATTTGGCATAATTGTCGCAGGTGGATTGACGATCATAGAACCAGACGTTCCGCACATTTGATGATGCTTGCTGTCAGCTGTCTTTGTTACCTATACCACATCCACTATAGGAAATTGGATGATAGATCTCTTACGCCGCCTTAACTCGGTAAAAATCACTTGCGTATACCCAACTAGTTCTTTATTTAGACACTACGCTGTGTAGCAGTGATATACACGAATCATTTCGAGCTAATTTCTAAAAAAAAAATACTAAAAACTTTTTGAGTTAGAAACTTCACAAATCACATGTCACAAGACTCTTGGAGGGGTTAATGTTTTAAATGTTATATCGAACGAAAGTCGGTATTTGTATGAATGAGATTTCAAACAAGCGTAAGCAAACTGAAAAAATACTACTTTTCAGTAATCATTCCTTGAGGTTTGAGTCCTAACATTAATCCGTACCATTACAGCCTATTAAAGTCCACTACTGAACATGGCCTATGTTCAGCAGTTTACTTTAATATAATATATCCCATAAATCACCTATAGAGATATTTGCCATAGTTGCCACATTTGGTAAGCAAGTTGCCTATCGCAGTTTTTTATAGTCGTTAATAGCAAGACGCTGCTGCCCATCTCCTGATTTGTCTCCCTCTGTCGCCTTTTATGATACCCACGGAATGATTTGGGGTAGTAGATATTCTTACACCGTCACTACACATTAATCAGAATAAGAATTTTTTACATATTTATGTAAGTAATGCAGCGCTACGGAACACGAATGATACATTTCTAATGAACAAAAGAGCAATTACCATGATGGATACGTCTACACATTTCATAACAGGGCCGTTTTATATATGGGAAATAAATTACTTCTATCTCTGGCTTATTCACTCATTATTATATGTGTATGTTTCAAGCATTTATTTATGATTTATTTTTATTAAATTATTCGTGGTACTGATTATCTAAATCGTTAAGGCCATAGAGGCGTAATAAGAACTTTTATAGAATATGGCTGTCATAAGTTTTATGGTTACAAGAATTTTAGAATCAATACTTTTTTATACATTACCGTTTTGCTAAAAATAATAGTAAATTTCGTAAAAGTACAATTATGTTATTGCAAAGAATATTAAAAATATTACGGCGTTAAACACAAGCAATATTGATAATTTTATAAATTAACAAAATACTCGTATAGCATTATTAGAAATATTGCATTATATCATTGTATATATCACTTATAGATTTTTCACGGGAGAATCCAATTATCAGCGGCCATGAGCAAACCTATGCCCTAGAAGAACCACTTGATGTCAATTGTTCTTCAGCGAAAGCATTTCCAGCACCAGAACTTCAGTGGTACATCAATGGGAAGAAGGTGAGCTAAGAAGACCATGTTTAATAATTTGTAATCAATTTTGGCAGGCCCTGTTACCGCTGAAAAAATATTAGACTGTAAAATAAATTGTCAATATTACGTGGGCCACTCAGAAAGATTTGCGAAAATAATAAAAGTTCCATGATTAAATTTTTTAAAGACCCTTTCACCAGCTCTCCAGCAGAAACATCTATACAAATTTGAATGGGTCTGAACCAAAATTTAAATCAATAATTTTGTACAGTCCGCCTCAGACATCTCTTCTCTAGCCTACTCGAACACTGATAGTGCATCTTCCGGCTATGTAAACTTTTTCTCTTTTAGCTGATATTTTATTTTAGAGAACAATTTTATTTCAGTGAACAAAAAGAAGTCATATGGTCCCAAATCAGGACTGTAAGGAAGGTGATCTAAAAAGTTTAAGTGATGTACTGACCAGAAAGTCCATCGTTTTCAGCGCTGAGTGCGTGGGCGCGCTTTCATGTTGGAGCAGTAACCCATGTAGCTCCTTGCTTGATCAATCAGAGCAGCACGCACCGAATATACTATCAAAGGCTTCTAGCAAGCATTTGATAGTATATTCGGTCTTTACCTATGAAATTGCCGTTTTTTTATGAAATAAAGTAACGTAATTTTTTGTATATATTTTATTTCTATTAATCAAGGTAATTAACCTATGCAATCTTTGCATCTTTGCCAAAACAGTGGCACTTTATTGATACTCTGCTTGAAGAAATCAGCTGGACGTGGGGCAACAAATTGTTTAAAGGAATTTTGTACTGCCTCTCGGATATTGATTTTTTCCCGTCAAAAAGTTCTTGTAAGCACGGCAGATGAAGGAGAGCCTCTAAACCCAGCTCTTGTAACTTGAAAACCATCTATTTCGCAGTATAAGGTCACGCGTTGTCGTGTAAGAGCAGCGGGGACAGCGATTGACCAGAGCTGGTTGGAGACGTGCGAGCTTCTCCATCATTATGTTCAGATCTTCACAGTACACATCTGCAGTAAACATCATTCCGTTTCTTCGTTTGTGTGCCTGTTGAACAATACAAGGCACGTCTCAACGCATCCTTCGCACTTACGATCATTGAGTTCGTGGGGCACCCATTTGTCAAGATTTTTTACCTTGCCACTTTGACGCTAACATCTAAAGCTGCTGCTAATTCAGCCGTAGATTGAGTATCATCAGCATCCACAATCGACTTTAATTCGTCATTGTCGACCAAAGTTTTCGGACGACCACAGGATTCATTTATTTCATTAGTTCGTTAGTTTTCAGGTTGAAATTTCCAGAACGGAAGCGGGCCAACCAATAACAGGTGGTTCGTTCTTTTGTTGTATTCGCTCCGTAATTGTCGTTGATGTTGCTTGCCGCTTCTGCCGCGTTGCTGCCACGACGGTACTCATATTCCATAATTACTCGAATCTTAACGCATCTATGATAGCGAAAAAGAAGGGATGAAAACATAACGCTAATCAATATACAAATGACTAATTTTGAAAAAGAATTATATGATTTTAAAATAAAATTAATTTGAAATTAGAATTCTTAGCCAAACAAAAATTATTTTGATTTGAAATGGCCAGTACTACAGAACGGCAATTTCATAGGTAAAGATCTATTATTTAGCAGCTATTCGGCTCTGATGCTAACTCGATTTTATAAACAAATTAACACCAGATATCCCGTTAAAGTGAAAAAGTAGCGATCATAATTTTCAATGCGCTTCTTTTTGGCTTTATTTTATAACAGCCAAACTAAAATGTCAGCCAAGCCAAAACTTTGCTTCAAATTTAGTAATAATGTCACTCCACCTTTCCACGCGGGCCTGCTTAGGAGTATCAGTGACGCACGAAACAATCCTTCTCACGCGCAGGTGTTCGCATAAAATCTCGCGTATGCTTCCCGATTAAATTTTTAATATTTCAATCTCTTCATACGCTTCCTTCCATAACAGCCAAACTTCATCTCGACGACAAGCAGGACACTTTTAACTTCATCTTTAAAAATTAAACGACCGTACTGAAAGTATTATATCTACAGTACTCGCCATAGAACTGTATTGCCTTAGAAGGACCAATGCCATTTTAAGTCTATCAAACGATTCGTCCAGTTTCGGTACTTCGTTTGGGAAATCGTAAAAAATAGTTGCGAAAATATCACCGACGCAGATCAATTTTTATGGACGATATTTCAATTAAGCTCTTAAAACCCGAAAAGGGAAATTCCAAACTGACGCATTCGTATTTTTACTTGCAAATAACCTTTTTTTTTAAATAAAAACTCTCCGCCGTGACTGAAATTCAGTCTGGAGGACATAAATCGGAATATTGAAAAATCAGCCCATAGTTTTAAATTTGTTTTTAGTAGTTCATATCAAGAACTACGAGTATCAAAATAAAATGCAAGGAGTTATGTTTACCATTAACTTAATACAGGGTAAATTGAAAGTATCCTATATTTTCAGGTAATAGAACGAGACCTCTTGATAGCATATGGTACAAGGCCAGTGTCTCAAGGTTTATTGATATCTACTCTTGGGATAAGAGCTCCTGCCAAACCAAAAATGAAAATCACATGTGTTTCGTCACTTGGAAATCACAAAAGGGAACGAAGTGCAGTCATAGGTATGTATGTATTTTTGTTTATCTTTTCTTTCTTTATCGGCCCTTAAAGTCCACTGCTGGATCAGGGCATCTTCCGTTGTAGGGAGGATTTATCTTTATAGTTACGCTTGGCAGACGGGTTAACAATCGCAGTGCCAGGCGTCTCGCACCTTTGGACGGCTGCTGTCCAGCGCCTATCTGAGTATTTTACGTCTAACCTATACGAGACGGATGTAACACATTCCTCATCGTCGCCTCGTACAACATCCAGGGAATTAATGGTCTAATGGGCAAACACGAAAACCAACAGAATCTTCTTCTTCACGCTAATTTTGACCTCAGTTAGGAAAATGTTTGCACTTTATCTTATTTTGTGTCAGTCAACAAACCTAACTAGGGATAATCTCCTGAAAATTGGCAAATAATGTTTCATGCTCCAAACCTTCGTCATATTTTTTATTTCAAAACATAGTAACAGAATTGAGGTTAGGAAAATAATATTTCATAAGTTTACGTACATGCCAAATTTTATTTTATGAAAAAATATTTTATTAATAAACAATTCTTTGAATACCTTCATTTTTAATTAAGTAGTGAGGACTTTTAAATTTGTAATAAATCCATCAGCTTGTTTCGTCCCGTGGGTGTCAGAAGAGGTGCCTATGGGATATGTCAGAAAGATGTCATGGCTTTCGATAGATAGAAAATCGTCAAAGGTGCGAGATATCTGGATCATGGGTGGCCAATTTGCCTACCAAGATAAGCGACTAAGGCAAATCCTCCCTGCAACGGGAGAGGTCCGTTTATACGTGGTAGAGCCACCCTGCAGCTATTTCTATAATATGCTCGTAGCACAAAAGGGTCGTCGGCTCGACCGAGGAAGGACCACGCTCTCACAGAATACCAGCGGATAATAGCAACTTAATGCTCCTGTGTTTTGTATGGTGAGTGTAGAGACCCGGAGACCCTTTTTACTGGAAAAGAGGCATTCCATCTTGCCCTCAGGGGTGACAACGTATCTTCATTTTGATTCTTAATTGGAGATAAATGGAGTTGTCTATGGGCCACAGCACCCATTTACAATCAGATGGACTGTGTGCTCGTTTATCACCCTTATTCTATAAATAAAGGCCCAAGTCCAGCAGTGGACTTTAACGGACTTAAAGAATAGGTATATGCAAAATAATAACACAATTACAATGAACTCGTATTATTGCATTTATTTGATGTTATAATTTTAATTATAACAAAACTGATACCTAAAGGCTCGTATCTCTGATACTTTTATAAATGCTTTGATCAGGTTTTTATCAATAATTTAATCATGGTTTCTGTTAACTACAAAGAGATTTTAAGTACCGTGAAACCTGACAACTTTGCCATTTTTGGAAGGAATTAAAAGTTTCAGACCAATTTTCCAACAAAAAATGTACTGTCAGACTGGGTGTCAATGTTAAATGTGACATTATATTCTTCATAGATTTGGTATTTATTAATGACTTAAATAAATACTAACCTTAAATAGACTAAATACTCAAAAATAGAAAATGGCAAAGTTAACGTCACTTTATGATAACCTTGCTATCAGAGTTGATAATGAAAATAATTGGATTTGACTTCAAGGTTGAAGGTAAGTTTACCTCATAATATAATACACAACACCCAGAGTTATGATTTGCTTCTTTGATTGTGTTGCAAATGGCAAATTTTACACTTGTGGCAAAGTTCGAAGTAGGGAGGGTACCCATTTTTAAATTTTTCATACAAACATGAAAATGTTGTCAAAAATCCAAGATTACATACTTAACTCAATTTTTTATTTAAATCTGGTCACAATAATTTCTTAAGACATAATCAAAAATATATCAAACATAAATACTCTCGTCCAAAGTGTTAAAGCTGCAGTGTTAAAGGTGCAAGATGTATGGCATATTGCGATCGTCTGCTATGCGTGACGATTAAGGCATATCTTACCTACAACCTAGTGGCTCATGTCCAGTGGACATTTTCGGGCTGATGGAGAAGAAGAAGAAATAGAAGTACAGTCTTTATACTACCTCTTCTTTAAAAACTTTATACTACCTCTACTAATTTCTGAAAAAGCATCGGTCACTATAACGGTACGGGTAACGGTCACGGTAAGTCAAGGTTACTAGTCGTCGTTACGGACTTCACTTGTCTTCAAAATATTTGTAATTCCTTAGTTTCTTCACGATGTTTTTCTTCACCATCGGACAGCTAATAAATCAGAATTAAAAATGGTAATTCTCAATTTGTTTGGCACCGACGGAGATCGAACTCGGTTTTCTCACGTGTTGTCATTTAAAAGCAAGCACTACCTCAGCCCTCATAGCCATATTGAAAAAAGAGTATACATAAAAAATACTATGACATACATATTTAAAATATGTAAACCTATTATCGCTTTCAGATATATAAAACAATGCGGGTACAAGTAGACAATTTCTAAATGTAATTCGTTAGTGTCCGAACGTAACCATCGCCATTCATTACTGTTCACGAGCGGATTTATAGACCAAGTAAGAAGAGTGTAAACAACATTATTTGTCTGCAATAAACACATTGCGAGTATAACACTATATTCATTTCTTTTTTTCTTTTTTACAAATTATTAGTTACTCCTTTTTAACAAGTTGTTGATAATTGTTCTCCCGATCTATTCTACTTTTGCGACAACGTTCAAATACAATAAAATAGAATAATTTTATTCTACATAAAATTAAAAAAAAATACCTATATCAATATCATAGAATAAAAATAAAAATAGAGGAGTTTAGAATTAACATAGTGAAGAAACTTCCATCACTTTCATACCAAACTAATCCAAATTTTTTATATGGAACATTTTTTAAGTTTATTTTCAATGAATTTGATAATATTTTTACTTCTAAAACGTTCTCTTTGAACAATCGGAAGGCATTCAATGAATGGACGACAGTAGAAGTCCATAAGAGCAGACAAAGGTTATATTTTATATAACTTTACCATGAAAGGTCATATAACCCTAGCGTCAAATTTAGGGAATATGTAAAAAAATATTTTGCATTTGAGTAACAAAATTAAGACGGTTTCTAATAAAATTAAAATGACATGGAGTATAATTAATAGTGAAACAGGTAAGGCCAACTCTCGCAATTCAAACTACACTACGGTGTAATAAGAAATGCTCCTAAATTAATTGTTTCATATTTAAGTAACGGAACGCAAAAGTTGTAATTAATAGTATGAGCTCTGCGTCGATAGTACAAATAGACGTGCCTCTAGGCTCAATTCTCTCCCCCCTTCTGTTTCTTGTATATATTAATGACTTACCTTACATAGTAGGGGATAAACATAATATAGTATTATTTGCTGATGATACTTCATTAATTTTCTAACTAAAACGACAATTATTAAAATATGACGAAGTAAATAATGCTATATCTAAATTAGTAATTTGATTTAAAATAACTTGCATTTAAACGGCAGTAACACGAAATGTATGAAATTCATGACTACAAATGTCAAACAATTAAATACTAATGTATTTTTTAATGGGGAGGAACTGAGTCTTATCGATACCACCATTTTTCTTGGAATTTGACAGCTCCGTGGCGCAGTGGTTTAGCAATGAGTTGCTGCGATGGGAGCCGCCGGTTCGAATCCCGCACGGAGCAATTATTTGTATGGCCTACAAATAATTGTTCCGGGTCTGGACGTTTGTCCTTGTGCAATTTGTGTTTGTAAACTGCCTCCACGATGCAGGAGAAAATCCTCGTGTGGGGTAAGGTTTTTATAAAGAAAAAAAAATTAACAATAGACGCGAAGCTTTAATGGAGCCCCTATATATTAAAATCAGCAAGCAGACTTAGTTCTGTAGCATATGCTGTACAAAAATATTAGAAATCTTACCAGTGTGGAAACAGCTAGACTTGTTTACTTTAGCTATTTCCATAGCATAATTTCGTATGGTATTTTGTTATGGGGACACGCGACTGACACTGAAATTATATTTGTTTTACAGAAGAGAGCAACCACAGTTTTTTATTTTTATTTTCAGTTTTAGGAGGACGCTACTGCCCATCTCCTGATTTCTTTCTCTCTGACGCCTCTTACGACACCCACGGAATTATATGGGGTAATGGATATTCTTACACCGCCACCACATGGTCCATTATCAGATTTTACCATGAATTACACTTTATGAATATAAAGAATAAAATAAAATATAGTTATTTGTCAGGAATGTATATAATAAAGTATATATACGTATAACCCGGTCAATTTATTTCTGCACCACCCTGCGCACGTCCAGTCATATCAATACTATTATATTATACCCGTCCGGCGACAAGATGCTAATATATTATCATATATATATATATATATATATAAATCATTGTGGCCTTAATCCTATCGAATATGTTCGGAACTTAGTAAAATAAAGGCTGTTAGACAAAAACATTACCAGACCAAAAAAAATTGATGGACTCAAGTGATGCGATCAACGCTATCCGACTGTAAAAAGAAAGTTAATCATGTTTTGGCAAATAGTTATATGCATAGTATGAGAAGAGAATTCGGAGAGTGATGTAATCAAGAGCGACGGCGAAGATGCAATGCCTGGCATTAAACCATTTATTGATATTAATATTGAGTTTTAGGTTTTGTATTGATTTAAATAATAAACATTTTTTAATGAAGATTAGATTTTTTTAATGAATAAATAAAAATTATTTTCCATCACTTATTAAATTTAATAAGTGATGGAATATATATATATATATATATATATATATATATATATATATATATATATATAAACATTATTGTGTTAAGTAAACTTTAATTCAATCATTATACAAAAAAAGAGTATTTGTAATTAATTATTTATATTTCTAGTGATGCTTTTTTCCACACCGTACCAGAGGGCCAATGTCACGACATCGACATTGGGTGCCCAGGTAATGAACGGGTTTGCACATATCTGTTCACATACTAAATCAAAGAATACGAAGAAC